CGTGGCTGGATCTGGGCTCTGGGGTACAGATCCATCCACTCAGACAAGGGAGAACCTCCCCCTACTTCCAGCTCCACAACCAAAAAGTTTTAATTTGAAAGTTTAACTTTTTAAATATATTTTTTATAGATTTCAGAAGGGAAAGGAGAAGGAGAGAGACAGAAACATCAATGATGAGAGAGAATCACTGATGGGCTGCCTCCTGCAGGCCCCACGTTGGGGATCAAGCTCAAAACCCGGCTATGTGGCCAGATCGGAAATCCAACTGTGACCTCCTGGTTCACAGGTCAACGCTCAACCACGGAGCCACGCCGGCCGTGCTGAAAGCTTAATTTTTAATCAAACCTACATAATCTGGAAGATTACCCTCTATTAAACTACTCCTGCTTCTAGAAATGGGACTGGGGTAGTGAGGTAAGAAAATCACGTGTTTATGTTTTGTATGCCTGTATAATCTAAATTTTCTTTCCAAAAGCATTTGTTACTTTTGTAATTTAAAAAAAAACAAAACCCTACACTTTTTAAAGGAAATTAAAAAAAAAAAAAAAAAAAAACAATAAGGAGACCGTCCGGGTAGCAGGACCAGCACTAGCGTGAGCGTATGTTCCAGCTGCTGCCAGGGGCTCCAGGTCCCTGTCAGCCGCCCGAGAGCCGGGGGTGAGGGGAAGCCCCCATCTCCCTGAGACCCATCCAGATGGATGCTTCGACCACACCCTGGGAACATTCCAGCAGGGGGCCAGCTAAATCGTGCCCCACCCCTGGCCCCCAGGGACCGAGAGGTGACAAATGCTCTATGTACGCCTGGGGCAATTCATCATGCAGTGAGAAAACTGATATGGCATCTATACAACTCCCAGGGACACCTGTTCTACCCATAGGTGGGAACTTTCATGTTTATGTATAAAAGTGTTTCAGGAATGTCAGATGAATAGGTAAGACATACTGGGACCCTACGTCTAATACTCCTGAAAAGTAAGACCAACTTTAGCAGACTTTCAAAGAGATCCTCTTACACCTCCCATCAGTTTAAGATCCTAAAATCAGACTGATTCAGACCGCTTACGTCTGGATAGTCCCCAAGCCCGGCCATTCAGATGGAAGACAAAGGACAGCTCCTTGTCAGCACCCAAAATACTTCTTTGTCAGAGGACAGACACCCGGCTCTTTTTGCAAACTGGCCGTGGGCTCACTCCTGCCCAAATTGCAGCCTTGCTGTTCCTGAGCCCAACCACAGCCCTGGCCAGTGCCCCTAAAAATGGCACCGCATCTGGCTGGGTCACCTCCACAACAGCCCACGAAACCCGGCCACCCTCCCATCCGGCGGGTGAGGAAGGGGGCGGGGAAGGGGAGAGGGGAAAGAACGGGTGACACAGGACTGAGTCCAGGCAGAAAGCAGCTCTGCCCAGGATGTCACAGCCAGCATTTCCCAAGAGGCCTCTGGCTGCAGGTGGCCGCTGCTGGTCTCGATGCCCAGGGGGAGGAACAAAAGCAAGGGGTTCTGTCCCCGCAGGTGTCTCCCCCCCCCCCCAAGGCCAATATCCCTGGATGACTCTCACCTGATCTCCTCCATCTGCAACTGAAAAGACTCACTGCAAAGACCATATAGAGACTCTGCCCCAGTGCGTGAGCCCGCCTCTGAGCACAAGATGAGCATTCCCAGGGCACACACCTGAGTATTTTTTCACAGAAGGACCTGCGAGGCCAACCTTATGGGGATCCTAACTCAACACTAACTCCTAAAATTGAGGTCATTTTTATTGGATTTTCGAAGCGGTCCTCGGACAACTTCAGTGAACGTAAGACCCTAAACTTTCAGACAAACTCAGACTTCTTTACCTAGATGATCTCCAACCTTTCAATTCAGGCAGAAAGCAAACCTGCCCAGACAGTGAGGCTCAGTGGTTGGTGAGCCATCTGGGCCCAGGGCCCTCTGCTCCCAGGGCCCCTAACCACCACAGTTCTGAAACCATGACTGTGCCATGTGTGTGTGTGTGTGTGTGTGTGTGTGTGTGTAGCCATTTCTATAGAATAAAACAAAGCCATGAGACTGCAAAAGAGATAAAAATTTTAAAACACTGAAGAATCAGACAGTAAACTATTGCAGATCCTGCCAACTGGGCCTCTGGCATCAGGTAAACAATTTCACAGCCAGCCATGAACAAAAGCAGAGCAGAAGCCAGAAACTGGCTTCCCAAGGCTGCTCTGCATGACCTGCGAGGCTGCAGAGGAGGAATCATCGAATCTACAGTCTTTTTTATTTACAAAAACAATACGTGCGTGATTAACAAGCCCCTTAACACAGAAGTCTAAAAGAGAAACCTTTCCCCGTCCCCACATCCCATCCCTTCCCACCCCACCCCACCCCATCCCTTCCCATCTGGTACCCAAAGTTAGTATCCTCAGATGCACACAAATACACGAACACGTGCACATGTCCACAAACCCCCCAATAACAAAAGGCAGGATCATAATACGGACATGACTCTGTAACCAGAGGTAATTTTTGGCTTAAATACAATAGAGAATGCCCACCCTCCAACAGGATGGGAGTTACAGTTACAAGGTGAAGCCACACATCAAGGAATTGATGCCCCTAAAGCCGTGGTCGGCAAACTGTGGCTTTCGAGCCACAGGTGGCTCTTTGGCTCCTTGAGTGTGGCTCTTCCACAAAAAAAAAAAAAAAAAACACCATGGTCTGGGCGAGGCTATATTGAAGAAGTGGCATTAGAAGAAGTTTAAGTTTAAAAATGTGGCTCTCCAAAGAAATCTCAATCGTTGTCCTGTTGATATTTGGCTCTGTTGGCTAATGAGTTTGCCGACCACTGCCCTGAAGTATGGTGGAAAGATTAGTTGAAATGAGTATCTGAAAGCGGGAAGCAAAATGCCCAAGAAAGGGCATCCCTAACACAGTTAGAAAATGAAATGACGTGGGGCCGACCCCAGACGTTGCATGGGCTCTGGACTCAGGCGAACCTGGGCATTCTGTGTAGAAAGGGGACTGCCTCATTGTTAGTGGGCACAATAAATAGGTCCCTGAATGCAGGCAATGTTCTGCCCTCCACTCTATTTTCAGTTGTCTGGAAGTGCCTGGGGCTGCAGAGGGCCAAAAGGAAAAGCGATCGCCCTGTGGTGACAGCCACATTGAGGCCTGCTATCTGCATCTCAGAGGTGGCCTCAGCCTGCCTGCTGTGTGCTATCAGGCCACTCTTTCAATGAAAGCTGCAGAGCCTCGAGGTTTCCCACCCCAACTGCTATACCTCAGGGGGAAGGTGACACCCGCCTCCCTGCCAAACCAAACAAAGCCTCTTCCCGAGGGGTTTCATGCCTCTTATAAGGGCTCTGAACTGAGGAGGTGCGGCGAATGACCAAATCAATGCCCCCAAGGCAGTCCCCACACAGCTCAGATTGCGGTCCACGCCCCCCCCACAACTGCATAAGCCCACGAGGACAAAAAGCTCAGTCCCCAGGGGGGGACTACCATTTCATTCAGAAACGATCCAAAGTTACCCTCGGAACAGGGCGGGCTGCCTGGAAAGGCAAGCTCTGGGCGACATACCATCACGTGGCGTGGTGGGTGTAATTTTTAAAAATGTACCCACTCCACAAGGGTCATAACCGATCTGACGTGAACAATCCCACTCATCTCTCGACACAGATGCACCGTAAAGAGGGGAAGAACTCAGCCGTAGCTCGTTTGGCTCAGTGGATAGAGAGCATCAGCCTGCGGACTGAAGGGTCCCGGGTTTGATTCCAGCCAAGGGCACATGCCTGGGTTGTGTGCTTTATCCCCAGTGGGGGATGTGCAGGAAGCAGCCAATCAGTGATTCTCTCTTCTCATTGATGTTTTTATCTCTCTTTCCCTCTCCCTTCCTCTCTGAAATCAATAAAAGATATTTAAAAAAAAAAAAAAAGGGGGGGGGGGTGAGGGAGGGGGTAGAACTCAGAAGCTACACACCCCATTCGATCTGCCCTGCTTCCCCCTCAGTCTGAGACAGGGAGCCACACCCCTTCCTTGGTTTCAGGGACCCTGCACCTCGACCTGAACGGATGCAAATGGCCCTGCTTCTCACCCACTCCTGTAAAACTGCATGTCTGTGTCTTCTTCACTCGTGTTTTAAATATATTTAAGGAACTGGATAGTTAAAGGAATCTTGTGAAATCCTTTATAAAGAACTTCGACAACATGAAATTTCTCCTACTCGTGTATATATTTAGATGCTTCCATTTTTGTCTATGAACTCTGTAATTCTGGACAGCAGGACAAGACTATTCCCAAACCTCTAAGGACCAAAACATATTTTTATCTGGTCATTTGCTCCCGCCTCTACCAACTACAAATGTCAAGACGATTCGTATCCTTGAAAAATATTTTTTAATTGATTTTTAGAGAGAGAAAGAGAAAGGGAGAGGGAGTTAGAAACATTGATGACAGAAAACTACCACCAGCTGCCTCCTGCACTCCACTGGAGACCAAACCCGAAACCCAGCCTGACAGGGAATCGAACCTTGACTTCCTGGTTCATAAGTGGATGACCAACCACGGAGCCACAGGAGCCAGGCCACAAGATTCCTATCTTTGTCGACAGTCCACTCCCTGCATGCTAATGAGCAGCTGCTCAAAGGTCAGACTGCGAGTGGTACAAAGGCATCCAGGACGATGCCTGTGGATTTCCTAACGCCTCCTGCGGCCCTGTCCCTCAGAAGCAGGAATTAAGGATTCTCCATGGGCTGTCCATGCCCCCAACTCCTAGCACAACGCCTGCACCCCGTGGGCACCCCGCACCCACCCCTGTACACAGACTCACAGGACTCTAATCAGCGTCCCTTGGGTGCCCAACGAGCAAACACAAAACTGGCTGAGGGTACGGACACATACCTCTGGACTCTGATAAACAGAAATAAAAGACAGAAACAGAGAGAAGCGTCGGAGGAAGAAGAGCCAGCTCTCTGCCACAAATCGCCAGGTCTGAGCCCCGCCGGGGCCCCGAGCGCGGACTCACGTAGATTTCGTTGTGGTCGAAGCGCTTCTTGAGGTTGTGGATGAAGGTCTCCTCCGTGAGAGGCTCCAAGAGCACCATGTCGCCCACGCCGATCATGTTGTCCAGCAGGGACGTCTTCACCTCCATCTTGGCCATAGTCCCCAGCTGCAGGGAAGATAAGAACAGGGTCAGCGTGGAGGAGTGGCCTCCTCTCCCATGGGTGCTGGGCCCCGTGGAGAGGTGAAGGGCGGGCAGTGCCCAGTGGCCTTCCCTGTCTCCCCAACGTCAGGACCACCCTCCCAACAACCCCTGTGAGCAGCCTCTGAGGTGGCTACCGTCCCTGTCACAGCCCTGGAGCCCCACGCACCAACCTGCTGCCACCCAGGAGCCTCCCCCACTCCCCCCCAGGCCACCGCCCGGGCCAGGCCCATCGTCAGGAAAGGCCACCAGGAAGCCTTGGTCTTGGTCTCCGCCTTCTCCTTCAGGCCACCCTCTCGGCCCCAATCAGAAGCTGCAAGGCTATAGCCAAAGAACCCAAGCCATCCCTTTCCACCAACCCATGCACATCAATGTCAGACTTAAATCTACATGCACCTGCCTCCCCCAAAGTGACATCCCCTGAGGTGGTGACACCCCCCCCCCGGGAGGTGACACCCCCCAGGATCCCATGGCGACGTCCAGAGTGCCTTTTCCCAGGAAACAAGGCTTGGGAAACGATGCTAACGTGTACCGAGTACCTGTCACACATCAGACAGCGTGCGGAGCGCTGTATAGGCATTCAGTAACGGCATTACCCCACTAACTCTGAGAGAGGTATTGCTGTCACTGCCCTCCTTTTACGACGAGGGTGCTCATAGACATTCAGAAATATTGCCGAGGTACCCGAGAGGGCGATAGACCTCAATCATCACTTACCGCCCCAGACCGAGGGTGGGGGGGGTTTCCACGCTGGCACCGACACTGACTTTTAAAGGAAAACACGGCCCCCACTTGCACAGCTGAGGGTGCCTGTACCCCACAACCTGCCACGAATGGCCCCGGTCCTCCCACTTCTCATTCCCACAGACACACAACTAACGCAGCAAAGTAAGAGGAGTGTGCAGCGGACGCCCCTGTATGCTCATGAGCCCCATTCTGAGGAGGAAGTACATTTCCTTCTCCCCATTACGGAGTCGCCCAGGCAGATCCGGCCTCAGAAAGGCTGGTCTCCTTCCGTAAACCTTAGCCATTTAAATCAACGCCCCCTGTTCTGGTCTGGAACAGCAAGCAGGTACCTGAGAGGCAACGGGGATTGCATTTGATCGGGCGAGGAGGCCTGGGAAAGGCTGGGAACTCTGTCAGTCTAGTTATTCACCGCCTGTGGTTTATAGGAAGCCACAAGCACCTGTTTTATTCCTGATCCTATTAAAACGTTTCTAAGTGCGTGCCGGAAAGCCGAAAGAAGAGAGACCAAGAAACCCTAATTGGCGTGGCTCAGTGGATAGAGCGTCGACCTGTGGACGGAAGCGTCCCAGGTACAATTCCAGTCCAAGGCATGTACCTTGATTGCAGGCACATCCCCAGTAGGAGGAGGCAGCTGCTTAATGTTTCTCTCTCATCAAGGTTTCTAACTCTCTATCCCTCTCCCTTCCTCTCTGTAAAAAATTAATAAATTGTATTTTTTTTTTTTGAGAGAGAGAGAGAGAGAGAGAGAGAGAGAGAGACCCAGAAGCAGCAGAGGCCGACCCATAACCAGAAGGAAGCCTGTGCCGAAGTCTTTAATATTCAAAAGAAGAAAAGCAGAGTTAACCCTTTTGTCAACCTGGGTGTGTGTGGCTTTTTTCAGTTTCACGGCAGTCAGTGCACCTGGAATAAACAGCCCAGGTACCGCTGGATCCGCCCCATAGCAGCAGCACCAAGAATGGCCCCTGCACTTCGAAGGAGGCCAGACTCGAGTTTAAAACAAAGACGAGGCGGGTGAGGCCCTGGCCGCCCTCCGGAGATGCAGGGGAGCCGGGGAGAGCTGGGCCCAGGCCAAGGCCCTGGAAAGACGTGCACGGGAGTGGGAACGTGAGCGGCCAACCTTTGTCGCCATGAATTAACATTTCAATCAAATTTCAAGCCCTCAGACTCGTGGAATGCCAAAAGCACTCTGGCTGCGATCTGTTCCCTCACTTTGGAGGAGGAGAAAAGAAGGCTTAGGGATTGGGGGGGATGTCAACCTGAGACTGGTTTGAAAATAAGCACCCCTGTCCCGGACGGGCTCTGCACACACAGTCCGTCACGGGAGGAAAAGACAAGTTCCCCTCAGGTAACAGTCACCACGCGGCCAGCCTTCCTCGTTATGCCTGCTTCCCAGTCTTTTGAAATGTCTCATGCATGTTCCAAATGCGTTCTAACTGCTACACTCCTTCCCCAACTTTGTAATCCCAAAGCGGGAGGAGGGCAACACCAAGGCTGGGTCACAGGCAAAGGGTAGAAAGGGGAAACTCCGAAAACACACCTGCCGCAAACCCAAATACAAAACCATAAACCAGCCGACAAGGTGGCATTGGCGCCCACAGGGGGTCAGTCCAGCACCGTGGTGTGTGCTGTGCTTGTCCTTTCCGCATCTGGGTGGAGGACAGTGACCCGCGCACCCCCTCCCGGGGATGGTGGGGTGGGATGCTGAGAAACCGTGCCCAGGTCCCGCCCGGCATCCTGCAAACAGGCTGACTGCTAGCTCCAGCCGTGGTCTGGCCACAATGGTGCAAAGATACCATTAAAAAAAGGAAAGCGTCATTTCCGAAACTCCTCAAAATCCAGAAGCATAAACTTCACATACCACCTTAACATGGCCATCTGTGAGCTAACATGTACATACACACAGTTCACCGCCGTCACCAACCTCAAACCACAAGTCACCTGCTACGCTAACCTCATCCGCGCTCAGGAATGTTAAGACCAGCATGTCCCAACCCAATGGTCCCACACAAAAGATGCCAAATGAGACGCACATCCGTGTGAAGTGCAAGGCCATTCTACTATTTGTTTTTATATATTTTATAGATAGAGAATTAGAAACATCCATAAGAGAGAAACACCTATCAGCTGCTTCCAGCACACTCCCTCCTGGGGATGTGCCCACAACCAAGGTACATGCCCTTGACCGGAATCTACCCTGGGATCCTTCAGTCTGCAGGCCGATGCTCTATCCACTGAGCCAAACCGGTTAGGGCAACAAATGTGTATTTTTAAGTTGAAACGGTTTTACTGTAGAATTTGAAAGAACATTCACACATCACACCTGAGGGTGCAATGAAGACAAGGATCAATACTAAGTCATGAACATGATTTTAAACTTGAAAGGACTGCCGAAACCGGTTTGGCTCAGTGGATAGAGCGTCAGCCTGAGGACTGAAAGGTCCTGGGTTTGATTCCGGTCAAGGGCATGTACCTTGGTTGCGGGCACATCCCCAGTAGGGGGTGTGCAGGAGGCAGCTGATCGATGATTCTCTCTCATCGATGTTTCTAACTCTCTATCCCTCTCTCCCTCTCTGCAAAAAATCAATAAAATATATTTTAAATAAATAAACTTGAAGGGACTTTGAAAGCAAAGCCTTAAGAGCCACAACTTCCTGACAGCAGGTGCTGCTGCTTTGGGAACTGCGAATGAGGCCATTTCCACGTCCAGGTAAGGCCGCTGGCACTGGACATCAGGGACAGGACCTCCAGGAGTCCTCTCTGCATACAATCCAACCCCCTCTCCATTTCCACGCATTTCCCTCCGGGGTGGTGAGTAGCACCATCTTCATCGTCATTTCCCCAAAGGTGAGGTGCCCAACCTCTCGCACGGGGCAGGCAATCAGAGAAGCACAAGCATGCAGATTTCCAACGGTCTAGTGAGTCCTCTGATCATGCACATCCCTCCGGCTGCCCCCCGCCGGGCCTGGCGGATCAGGCCGAGCGGAGCCAAATGATCCCGCAGCATCCAGCCCCTTTGATCCGTTCCTTGGAGCACATGACACCATCCACAAAGGGCAGGAAACGGAACCAAGCCATTTGGCTCCCAAGGATGAGATCACGAAGGCTTTTAAGAATAACATGAGAAATGCATTGGAGGAAGAAAGCGGGGCCAACGTGGCATGATTTCATGGACAAAAAAATAAACCTTAGCAAACCCTGCTGGGAAAGCAAAGGCGAACGGGGGCCGGGTCTATAGGCTGCGAGTCAGTACCCGATGTAATGAGCTGAGTGGCTGAGGAAACCTGGAATTTCCTCCCTAGCTCTGACAGCAGCGCAAACCTCATCTTGGAGAGCAGTGGGATTAAATGTCCATTCGACTGGGCTCACCCACTGTGTACAGTGAGTCCTGTTGCCCTCTGGGACGGTGTTAAGTGCTGGGGGGCAGGGCAGGATAATCGGGGTACTTCCCTGGCCCGTGCCAACCCCCGGCAGCTCCCAGTCCAGGGAGACAGCCAAGAAAAGCAGCAAGTTTGGAAATTTCAAGTGATTTTTCTAATGATGAAAAAAAATCCATGTTGAGCAAAAGAAGAATAAAAGCCTAACTCAACGCACACTCATGCTTTTAGTCCCATGTTTGGCAAATGGCCGCTTGCGAGCCACATGCGGCTCTTTGGCCCCTTGAGTGTGGCTCTTCCACAAAATACCACGGCCTGGGCGAGTCTATTTTGAAGAAGTGGCACTAGAAGAAGTTTAAATTTAAAAAATGTGCCTCTCAAAAGAAATTTCAAATCGTTATCCTGTTGATATTTGGCTCTGTTGACTAATGAGTTTGCCAACCCCTGCTTTAGTCAAAAAAATCCTTTGCATTCATTAGAATCCTTGTGCAACCTGATTCTGCTTAACCAATGAGTTGGCCATCGTTTCTGGTGTTATGATTTTGATGTGTCTATTTCTGCCTCGGGGTAGGAATGTACGATAGATCCACAGAAGCTGTGAAACGGTGGCGCTACACCAACAACATCCCAACATCCCCACCTGCCCCTTTTCATTCTTCACCCTCGCCCCCAAATCAGCAACCATCTTATCAACAGCCGACCCACCAGGCTGGGCCTACCATCTGCCACACTGTCCACCACCCATACCAAAATACAAAACAAACAAATAACCCTTTCCTT